CAAATTATTATCTTATTTCTGCTGCAAGGAAGATATTTTATCTTTATTCACATAATAGAAAGTAACAATACATATACTATTCCTCTAAATTGCATAGAGTCCAAATGACAAAAACTTAGTCTAACTTTATGACAGAAATTACATCTTTGATGTTTAATTTTCTAGTGGCCTTGACCGTTGACCCATACTTGATTAAAAGTATCGTTCAGTTGACCTGACTTCTACGGAGTCCAAATGACATGTAATTTCTTAACCAAACTTTCCGCCAAGGTGTTAATGTTCAACTATCTTGTGACCTTGAAATTTGACTACTAATCAATCAAAATCTTTAGTCCCTATACTGGACTGTTGATCTTAAACTAGATTGTGACCTTGACCCAAACCACCTTGTGACCTTGAACTTTTTGACTCTCATTGATTAAAATCTTTACTTCCAAGACTTGAAAAATAGATTAATTACTGTAAGGGTTTGTAATACATTTTTTTTTCTCTCCAAATTTAAAAAAAGTGACTTGTTTATTACAGCAAAGAGTTTTTCTGTTAAATATCTACATTGCTGGATTACTAAAGATAGTAACTTGTATTGTGGGATTACACACCCTTAAGCATCTCCACATTTCTCTTGTATTCAAGGGAAATCAAATATTTTGTTCACAACTACTTACTAAACCTCCATCATAAACACCAGATTAGATCATAACTACCAATTGCCCTCATGTAAATAATTAACTAGTAACAAAGTTATCAAACCCTTTAACTTCAAACAAACCATGCAACATAACAATGACTGCATGGAAATTTACTTTTAACAAGAACAAATACATTTTCTGACCAATTTAATAATTCCATTTCCTTCTTCCCTGACAACAAAACTATTTCAAAAGATAATTAATCTCTTTAAATGGCATGCATGCAATATTTAAAACTAATAATGCATTTGTTTGTGATAAACTAGCATTTCATAAAATTTAGAAGAATGTACACCATGTTCTTCGCAAATCTCTTAAGAATTTGATTTAACAAGGTGTTGAACCTAGGATCCTTCACTAGAAAAAAAATCTATTGGATCTTCATTATTTTGACAGCCTTTCCTATGATCTGATATGGCTTAATGACATTTGATATAGGAAAAAAGATCTTAGATCATACATCATTCTTCAAATCAAATTTTTCCTAATCCCAATATACATATTACAGCACAAGATTATCATCAACAGCAAAAAGCAAACCATACTACAATTAAAACCCCAAAATCCACTGGCTTAGAAAAAATCATCATTCCATTTCAAAATATAATTTTAATTCTTTTACGGACAGACATATAATACACAATAGTTACCTCATACTGTGGATTCATTATTATTCGTTGGATACCAATTTTCGTGGGTTTCGTGGGTACAGACCAACCACGAATTCAAATGATCAACGAATAAAAGATTTATGTTGGCTTTATATGCAGTGATTGGCAAAACCACGAAATCTGATATCGACGTAAACGCAACTTTTTATCAATCCACGAAAATTGGTACCCACGAAAATAAATGAATCCACAGTAACCATCAAGTAGTATGAAAGGTAAACATTTGTGCAATTTTGGCGGTTTTTTTTTTTGTCTGCCTATGAGAAATAGAGTCTCAAGCAAAGCCATATAAGTACTACAATCCCCTTTCTTCTTCCAAACTGCTTGTGTAATTTTCTAGCTTGAGTAGGAATGCCAGACCAATACCATTATGATGCACTAATGACAAAAGCTACTTTTCTAATCAGACTATGGCCATTTTGTGATCAATTACAGGTAAAGGTTTGACATCTAAGGTTTTAACAACAGGAACTCCATTTCCTTTGTGTTCTGGTTATACAATAAATCCAGGACCATATGCAGATGGGCTGTCATGTAAACTTTAATTGGACAAACTACCTCCTCCACAAACTGTATGCATAGTAATTGATTCCACAATAATCTATAAATATTGGCAAAACAAGCACTTGTTGGCAACTGTTATTTGATATCAAGTCTCATGCATGGTCTAGAGAGCAAAAATTGTGCAACAAGTTGTCTAAGTGCTTACTCTAATCATCTACTAAGTTTTGGTGTTTGTTGATGTCATATAAACTTGAATATACCTAGAGTACAAACAGATATGTAACTTGACAAGACTTTCTCAATAGGGCACTCAGACGTAACTTCACATCCAAGACAAAATTTCAAACTATACTTGCAACACAAAAACTCTAAATGAAAAGCAACAATCATCAATATGTTATAAACCACAAATTAATCCTATCTTCTTGATTTTTCAAACAAAGTGTCTACTAGATAAATTTAACTTGTTGCCTTGACCTTGATATTGACATTCCAATAATTGAACCAGTCTGTGACATTGACCTTGTGGGTATTTGCTTTTAAATCCTGTTAAGAACACTTATTTCAAGGACCATGGACAGTCATACTCTTTGCTGGCTAAAGACCCAAGAAACAAAGCTCCATAGGGTTCAATGAATGATCTGTTATAAATTTTGAGCATGAGAGTTCAAGAGGAAATTTTTCCAAGTATTGATGCCATTTCATGGGCAAATCCAGGGGCTGGTCAAAGCCAAATAGTTGTGTTTACTTTTTACTTTTTTTCAGATTTTTGACTGCTTTCCTGTTTTCAATGGGAAATTGCTGCATCTGCATCTGCGTTCAAACTCAAATTATTATGTTATGTTTCAGTTTGTATCTTAATATTCAGACTATCAACTTGACTTTTAATTAGGGCATTCTAACATAGTGGCTACAAAACTCATCATGAATCCAGAAAATTACTGTCCTAGATATTTCATTTTCCAATGAGATTAAACCATGCAACTTATAAAAACTAACTCAATTTAATTCTGTAAATTTACTGACAAATTTACCACCAGCCTAAACATGTAAGTTGTAACCAAGGTTTATGAGCATATCTTTGAATGATAACAACCCATCCTTACCAATTCAAAATAATTAACCATTCTACTCTCAAAATTCAATCATAATGGATAAATAAAAGTAATTGACATTATGTAATCAAATATGAAGACTCAACAACTCAAGTTCAAAATATCAACTTAAACGAGATGCAGTTAGCTTTAAAGCTGATGGATCCCATATACTATCTTTCAAATATCTGATTTTTTTGCTTGACTTAAGTCCTATCATTCAAAAGACAGATAATTCTAGTCAAGATGTCATCTTCATTCATTAATATCAGATTAATAAAATCTTTTGATGTGTTCATACATTTTTCTTGGTCTTCCTTTTATACTGAGAACCTATAGATTTGCCATTAATAGCATTACACAGGTCCAATTATTTTTTCAAATGGATTTTCTTTCAAGTTTTGTGGAAAAGTTCTTATTACTTTAAATAAAGATTATTTCCTCACTGTCAGAGCTGTTAAATCTGCTAGGATTCTACTTCAAAGACCTTTACAAAAAGATGTAATTAGTTCATACAACTTAAATCTAAGTGCTACAAAGCAATGCAATGTCTTTTTGATGTAACTTCAATTACAAGCCATGTTGTAGTCTCCATAAACGAATACTTGACAAGACCTGATATCAAACTCAACTAAATGCTATTTTATTACCATTATCATGCATTAATATTTACTCAATAGTAATATATCTAAGTGAATTTATATGTAGTCTAAGTGTATTTTGAAATCACAGTTCTCTCTCCCTATCTACCTCTATAATTAACAAAACAGTTTTATGTTCACATATTGAAATATAAATTATTACTATTCATATCAATTCAATTCTGTTAAAACCAGATCATTTTGTCTTGACAGGTACTCAATTTATAGTTGCAAACAAAAATTGGCTGATATTGATGTGTTACATGCATGTCTTTATGTGTTGTTTTTGTTGTTGTTCTCATTGACATCTTTTATTCATATGATGTGTCATGGTTGAGATTTTATATTCCAGTTCTGTTTCATGTTTTGCATGAATCCCATTCCAATATATCAAATGTTCACATCCATTTTATATGCCTATATTTTTAACACTGTCCTTGAATCCATAAAGATTGATGGCTCTTAGTGCTACTGTCATTAGTCAGTCAAGACTGTCCATTTCAGTTGCTTTAAAAGTGATTTTGATGAAAAGTTAACATTAAATATGGGTTGAATTTCAGTATGAAAGTTATATGTTTGACTCAAGAGATGCACAATTCTTCAAAATATTCCAGGAACAATCAGGTTGCTCTTGTGAGGTGACATCATCTAAGTTTCTGCTGAGGTCTTTTATTTCAAAGATTGCAACAAAATTTGTATAATTAGAATGAAAATCTTGTTTGAAAACTATTAATGACATTGGGATAGTACTTAATTTTTACCTTTCTGCGTGTGGTTTCTGCAGATTGTTTATACAGACTTTTTAAAGCTTCATGAGACAGACAGTAGAAGTCTATTAGATATTCATATGCTGTATGTTCATTCATATTCACAAAAACATCATTTTTCAAGACATAAAACAATATAACAAACTCATTATGATATTTTTTATTTTATTTCATACATATTCATTATGATCTGTAATAATAAAATAATAAAACTGAGACAATAAAAAACAATATTGAATCAGGATCCACCAGGAATTAGACATATTGTGATACATATATCAAGTGAATGGATCAATAATGGGCTACCAAACCTTCAGAAAATTCTTTACTTTGCAATTAGTGTGAAAGATTTCTCTGTATAAAACCTATTTGGTTGATAAATGAGATCAAAGGATTGTAAATGTACAATAAATAACTAGATGATTCGGTTATTAAAAACCTTCCACTGAATTCTATTGACATTACATGCAAACTTGAGGATAAAAGACTGAAAATTCAATACCACCTGTCAAACTCAATTAGATCAAAAGGCTTAACTTTGTAACAATATAGCTCCTGTGAAATCTTATAGGCAATCTCAATGCATATAATGCTGTCAGATGAGATGATGGAAATTATTTTCTTATATTTTCAGGAATATGAAGAGGATATATTCTGGAATATGAAAAGGATATTTTCTGGATCCATTTACAAATACGAAAGAAAGGTAAATTATTATTCCATATTATAATATAAGGCTAATTTTTCTTTTTTTATCATATTTATATATATATTTATATCAACCCTTGTGGTAAAGTCAAATGTACTTTAAGTGAATTCTATGGTATTAAATACAACTGATAAATTATAATAACTTACCTCCCTTCTCAATAATGATTAAGGTATACAGAGTTGCCTCCCCTTTTAAATATGTTATAGGTTGACTGGAGTAGCCTCCCATGGTGTTAGAATTTATCAACTATGATGTTAAATTTTAGTAAACTACCACAACAATGATACATTTCCACACAAAGCAAAAAGCAATTGTTAAAATTTTAAAGAAGATTACAAGAAGAAAGGAATGTAAAATGTGAAAACAAAACAAAAATTCATAAATAGTAATTATTTTGTGTATTTCTTGGTATTTTCAAGTGCACCTTGTCTCCAGTATGTCTGGTGGTATAGGTAAGATGACTTGAATTTTAGACATATATAATAATTTAGAATTTTTAATAATTAACAAAATAAAATGTCAATCCAAAAAAAAAACAAACATTAGATGCTTATTGCAAGTGAAAGAAATTATAAACAGAATGGTATGACTATTTTTTTCAAGATCTACATAAGGAATAAGCATGAATAGTAAAATAGGCAGTGAAGCTACATGTAAGTTGCAGCTTTACCACAAATCAATTTTACAAAATATGGAGTAATTTCAAAATTGTGGTGTTTCCAAGGACTTCAGATAACTGGTCCACTAAGTATCAACAACCTTTTGCAGCCAGGTGCAGTGGTCAAAGTAAACATGAAAATTCTATCATTGGTACCCATAAGTTCATATTGGTCAAAAGTGACGACTAAGTCTATTTTATAACAGACTTATGTGCAAATACAAAAATGTATGTAACACTCAGTCCTTTTCAAAATTGATAGTGTTTTAACCAATGTTGACCGGATATCATAATTGGATGGTATTTTCCTATCTTTTTTTTTGACAGCATCTGGTACATATATCCATAGATGTTCCTCATTAAACCACTAAACCACAAGCTTTTCCACTTTAAGTGCTGTATCTGATAGCTGCAACCCTTTTTAATTTTTGTAAAACTGATTTGTCATAAAACGCAACTCACACTTCACTGCTTGTAAGATGAGAGAAGAGGCAACAACAAGATGTGACAACACTGATGTATAGAAATGTATACATTGTTGTTTACTCACTTGATTTGGCCCCATCATAGGGGGGTGAGGAGGCTGTGAATGGGGGGACGGCTGTGATGCTGGCGGCTACCAATACAAGGGACCAACATTATTTGATGGTGCTTTAGTGCAAGTTTAGTGCAGTCAATTTTAAGGCAATACAATGTCACATGGAATTAATCAAATTTCTATTTTATGCAAGTCCCTAGTACAAATGTACTTATAAAGCCCAATGTAAGTTTCTTATTTAGTATTACTGAAAACTTCCACCGTTATCATATTATCACACACAAACACACTGTCACACTTATAAGATAATTGCTATGAAATTATATAAATTCTTATTTTTCAAGATAAAAAGCTTATTTTTTTATTTTGTTTGAACAGGAATTCAGCACAGACCAAGATTATGGAATTTGCATACAAAGGGAGTTAACACCATCACAAAATGTTAATACATATAACAAGGAAAGCAGAGTTGTCTCCCATGCCATATTATTCAGCTTATGTTAAATGGGATTTCTTGATGAAATGATGGATGAAATTTGTGTTTATCAAATGTGTTTTATCAAAAAAGAATGGAAGAAGAAAAATACTTACAGGGAAAAAACCAGGAGGCATTGGCCCCCCTGGTGGCATTCCATCCTGTGGGGGCATTTGTCCTAAAGGACTTTGTGCTGCTGGATTCTGAAAAGAGATAAAACAAAAAATGTAATAACATTAAAAGAGGGATATATTAAGGATAATATATATTTGATAAAAGAAAACAACCTGAGGTTGAAAGGATTATTACTCCTGAAGGAAATAATGTGATTTCTCTTATGTTGTAATCTGAAAATTAAAAGAATGCAGCTATGTCTAAACTTCTTGCTTATGCCATGAAATGTACATCTCATAGAAAGTGACAAATTCAACTATTTTTTATTAAGTCTATTCTGCATATATTCAGCAACCATTTCAATTTGTTAGCTAAACCCAGTGATAAGCAATAAAGCAAATGTCTCCGGAATTTAGCCTATTGGATCATCTCCTTAAAACAGTAAGCACACATAATAAAAGGTTAAAGACACATGCATTTTTGTCATGATTTAAATGATTTCTTTAAATCACAACCCTTTCATCTGGATGAAAAGAAATGTTATGAGAATATTCTACCATGTCCTGTTGATTACAATATTCATCCACTCAAAATGGTAAAATCATCAGTTAATGTTACATTTAAGTTTCAAAATTGAACTACCAAGAGTGGATAAATATTGTAGTTAAATGGGTAATGTGGTAGAATCTGTTTTCTCTGCTGATCAAATGGAAAATGCTAAGTGCAATATTCCGAATATGGTGGGAAATTACACAAAAGAAATAAAATTAACAAATGGTGTATCAAGATTTATCAAATAGTCCAGAACCGATTTTATATGCATACAGAAATCAAGAAAACTTTCATATGCAATGTATAAATTTCCTGAATCTCCTAAAATCCATATGCATGTCCAACTTAATTTATGAATTGTCAAGGTTGTTTTTTTGGGTTGTTAAATATGAAATGAAGCACTAGCTGATCTCTGTTTAAAACACCTCCTTTCCTATTTTTTTTAAAGATAAGTTAGTTATTCTCATTTGAATGCATGTTGAACCATGATATTGAAAAAAAAATATGTCTTTTTTGATAGGATTATTGACAAAGACCAAAAAAAAACTCTTTTGAATCACACAAATTTCTGTTTTGGTAACAATTTGGTAAAAAAACATCAACTGCTAAAAGGTATGGTACTATAATTTCAATGTCAGCATGTATAGACAAGCAAATTTAAAAAGATAAGTAAAATATGTGAAAAATATGCATGGTAGTGATAAGAAACTTCATAATTACATGAACTAATATAAATTTTTTTTTCAATCATTTCATATCTGTACTTTGCTTTTAGTTTTCTCTTTAAAAAATATGACAAAAATTTGAAAAAAATAAAATAAAAGCTACACACCACCACTGTTTGCTTTAATATGCTCAAACTGCACTTAAATATGCAATACTTCTTTTATTAAAAAGAAATATATGTGTCTTATTTTCAAGAATTGTATGCATTGTACATGCATAAACACTAAACCTTGTAGATTATAACCAGTACATTTGACTTGAGCTATAAAAAATTTCAGAGTTTGAAATTTAGAATGAAATTTCTTACGTAAATTAAGAATGAAAATTTCATGCTTTTTTAATTCATACTGAGAAACTTAATAGTTGTTTCCCTTGTTTAAAATTAAAGTTATTCCCCTTTGATCAATTGCTGACTGATCTAGAAGTTGGTTTTTTTTTCCCATTTTTTCATTTTCTTTAAAACTATTGTAATTAAACTTTTTGACCCTTTCCTTGATTATTTTTCTTGGTTTTTACATCTATAAACATTTTTCAAATATAACACAAGTATTGCTGAAAATGCTACATTTGGTTAAACCTCTGTATCATGTCTAGCAGTTATCATGTCTCAGAATATTCTAGAAATGGATGAATGTAGTACCAGAAACAAAATTCCATCTTACTCTACATGTTACTAAAAACAGTCCATATCTGAGAAAGACCGATACATGGAGTAAATCAACTAAAGATTAAATAACAATATGCACTTGTTATAAAACCAGGAACTTTATATCATGATCATTGACCATCATTTTGACCTGATGTTTTAACTTCAAGTTTTTGCTATTCATAGTTGCATATGTAAGTACTGTAAATTTAGAAATTATTGCGTGCATTTATAATTGCGATTTTGTCATTTTAGACTAAAATGCGATTTCAATTTTTGCGATATTGAGAAAAATCCTGTTTAATTCATATAAAAAATTTCAAAATGCAAGTTCAAATTATTGCGATTATAACCAAGTCGCATTTTTCGCAATAATAAAAACATCACAATAATTTCTGAATTTACAGTAACATCATTTGTCTTAAGAAGATCAATGCCTTACCCTTACAAGGTTTTATTTTTAAATTGTCAGATTCATCTTAAGTATAAATTGTGATAAGGGTGTTAATTGGCCTAATTTTTCACTAAACTTTATACTTTTAATTTCAGAATTCTATTTCTACATGTGTACCTACATATTTAAGATGACATGATTTACCAAAAAACATTAGGAATAAATGTACTTACAGTGCATCAAGTCATAGAAGCTCACTTTTGAGCCTTTTTCATGCAAAAACTTTACTTAACTATATCAACTTGCAACAAACAAAATCTCATCTTTAATAGTCACAGTTCAAACAGAATGTCCACTTTAATAGTGCTTATTTGTTTTCAAAGGTGGGTTTGTCTGAACCCCTCGAACCCCCTGGCTATGGGCCTGGTTTTAATTTCAAACTCTGAAGTTTTAATGAATAGCTCAAGTCAATTGAACAGTTTTTTACAGTACAAATGCACTGGCTATCATCTACAAGTTTTACGCTACAATTCATAAAAGTAACACCGATATTCCTTTTTCAATGTCAATAGCCTTTACAGTAATTATAAACAGTTAAAACTTCAACAGGACTAAAAATGGGCCACTTTTTACACCTTATGGCATTTATTTCTTTTAAAGACAAAGTATATGATTTGTGAAATTTTCATGACAGAGGACAATACAAATCGAGAATAAATTGTTCTTAACAATGTAACAGCTGTCGAATACACGATCAATGTTATTCCACACTATACATGTGTCTGACATCCTCAACTGTCTGCATAAGTGTATTAATGATAATAATAAACCAAGTTTCATAAAAAAAAAAAAGTCCTGACAAACTACCGTCTTCTATCTTCATACTGTCTACTGAAAAAACATAGTCATGACAAAGAGTTGAATGAAAATATGTCTGGATCAAAAGATTCAGCCCACAGAAAAAATGATGAAACTTTATTTCCACTACAACACAAGGCAAACAGAAAAACATAACTGTAAACAAAAAATTCAAGAGGCTGTCAATATGACAGAAAACCAGGTTTTTATTACATTTATAAGTGTCTTTGTTAATGCAATGAAGTGCAAAAGTAAAAATCCTCATTATATTACTTCACCTTGATATTGTCATCAGTAACTAAACATTAAACTTTGAAAATCATTGGTTGAACCATTTTCTCAACTTATTGAACAGACACAACAACCATGTGGTTGCCTATGGTTGCTTAAGTCAGTTTCGTTTGAGTTCTGGTGGATGGTTGTCTGATTGGCAATCATACCAAATCTCCTTATTTTTATATACAATGCCCTTTTCCAATCAATCAAGGACCACAACTCCTAAATGGCAAAAGAGAAAAACATCCATATCAAACTTTACCTCAACATAATAAAATTTAAAAAGCATTGGTTGAACCGTTCACAAGATATTGCATGGAAACAACTGGAGCTGTCTATCTGTCCACCGACCTACTAAACAACAAATGCTGTCAGAAAACCTGGTTAACAAAGAAGATATAAATGTATAGAAAAAAGTTTCCCTTGACCTCTAATGAAACACTAATATGTCAAGTTCTGACTGTATACTAAAATTGGAAATGTAGTACCGATACATTTCACATACACTGTTACCAGGACCAGACAAAAATATATGAGGAAGGAATGAAAAGTGAAGAGACATGATGAGCCAAAATGTAAATAGAAATTTTTCCTTCGGCCAAGAAAATTGGTACCAATGAAAATAAATGAATCCATAGTATTACACACTTAATTGCACAAAACTTGTAGCTGTGTATTCCTCATTTGTTCAATAAGCAGTACAAAGAAACTAAATGTGTACGAACCAAATGAATGCCAAAACTACAGCAAACTGGGGTTTTCTTACATTTATAAGGGACATTCTTAAAGCAATCAAGAGCCATAACTCATGAGTGGCAAAAGTCAAAATTATCAAAAACTAATCTTGACCACCATTTTCTCATTAGAAACAACATATGACAAGTGAAAAAGAATTTGATTCAGTGTTCTGAAGTAATCACACATAATTGACATAAAGTCCCATTTTCAAATCAATCAAGAACCATAACTCCTAAACAAAAAGTGTGAAAATTGTATTCATCAAACTTGACCTCTTATGTTCTCAAGTTACAACTTACTGCATGGAAACAGATTGACCTGCCTGGCTGCTGTACTACCCCAAATTTAAAAAAAACAAGATTTTAAAAAAAATATGTAAACATTTGAAAATTTCATGAAATTATATGGGTCATATTTCTGTCAAAATCATATTAGTTTATGCAAAAATGTAAACTTGATGTTTACAATAAATACTATTTAACTACATGTACATATCAAAATGTAGCCTAAATATCTGCAGGCACAAACAAAAAATCCAGCAAGTCCTGACATATATAACTTTCATGAATTTTCAAAGTAAAAGCACCATTATTTACTCATAAAAGTATATAGAGTGTGCAATGAATTTTGTATAAGAATAGATCAAAATTCACCTCTATATCTGCAAACTTTATATAACTTGAGTTATGTCATTTAAGGACAGAATGATGGACATGGGTCAAAACATATGGAGTGTACACTTAAGAAGCACATTTTTTTGCTCATATCTTTGTCCAAAATAAAAATGTTGAAGTCTTTTGTTTATCTTAATATCCCTCGACAATCAAAATATAAAAGTATAAGACAAAACAGGACATGATTTTTTTTTGCAGTGACACAAACTATATCAGTTCTTACAGTACAACCAGTTCAAAGGAATTATAATGATGGAAAATACAACCTGACAACAATTTTATTTTTTGTAACATAAATGTTATGGCATAAATTATTTTCATGATCTAAATATACCTTGGAATTCTTAACCATTCCCTTTGTTATAATTCATATACAGTCATGTGATTTCAGATAA